CTTCAACGAAATAGGAAGCCAAGTCATCCATCGCGACACGTTGTTTGGGCCGTGCTTTACAACGCGGCACACAAAAACACACGCAAAGCGTGCGGAATATATAATAATATATATATATATATTAAATATAAACCACACGACGAAATACGCATATTATAATATGTGCACACACGAAGTCAAGCCGCAATTACATTTTTCTACACAACACACTGTGTAACGTGCAAGTATATATATATATATATGTGTATAATATATATTATACACATATATATGCTTACACGTACAGTGTGGATGTATCAGTGCGAAGAGAAGCAGCAGCAGCAGCAGCAGCAGCAACACACACACACACACACACAGTCATTTCCTCCCCCTGTCTCTCTCTAAACCCCCCCCTCCCCTCTCTTCTCCTTTCCACCACACTACTAAACAACAAATTCCACATCACACGCACAACGACACTACGGCTTTCGTCCCCGCCGCCCTCCACACAGCAGCAGCAGCAGCAAAAGCAGTAGTAGCACAGTCCGTGAGAGTAGATATATATATATATTGTTTTAGTAGAAATGGTGTAGTAGTAGTAGTAGTGGTGGTGGTGGTTGAGCAGAGCAGTGCGGCGGAACAACAACGGCGTGTGTATTGTGTGTGTACACGTACATACACACCACTACTATATGAAATATAATATGTACATATGTATATATTATATTATATCCTCTCCCGCGCGGCAACAACAACAACACACACATACACACAAACACAGCAGTATAGTAGTATACTGTGTATTATGCCAGAGTTTGTGTTTGTTGCCTAATTTTGTGTGTATATTATATATTATACAACAAAATATATATTAATATATACACACATGTATATATATATATATGTAACAGAAATCATCGGAAAATGATCCAGCTGCAGGTTCACCTACAGCTACCTTGTTACGACTTTTGCTTCCTCTATTGAAGAAATATCGGTGAACTTTCGGTCAAGTGAAGCACTCGACTGTCCGATCACCTGTATTGCACCATCATCGGAAACAACGACGGGCGGTGTGTACAAATGGCAGGGACGTAATCGGCACAGTTTGATGAGCTGCGCCTACGAGACATTCCTCGTTGCGCGACCAATAATTG